ATTAATGAGATAGCCTTGATTCCTATATGTGAGGCCCCTTCAGGTCTAGTGGCACACTCCACCATTTCTGTGCTACTCTTCAAGTCACAGAAGTAATTTTTGCTTCCTATGAATCTTGCCCAGGCACAGGAATCTCAGTGAGGCTCTCTATAATGTATCACCTAAACACTCCAGGCATCAATTTCTCTGTGAGATCCTGTTATCTCCTCCGTTCTCTGAATGTAAGGTTCAGATTTCCTCTACTCTCAAGTACCCCTTATACACTTTGTAGTCTTTACTTCAGGACTCAACCAGGGAAGCCGGGAGCCAAGCCTCTGTCTCAGGGACACAAATCACTCTGCCCTCATCCATTTCCGTCTGTTTCTCTCTTCCTAGCCTTTAATAAAATGAAGTATTTTTCTAGTCTAAGAGGCATCTTTATTTTCTAAATTCTCATTCTTTCATACATTTTGGGTGTATTTCAGATACTCTCTATTTCTACTTTTCCCCAGAGGATCTACATGGACCAAAGACTAAGCAGGGGAATCTGTCTTCAGCCATGGGCCTCCATACCAGTTGCTAGTTGAGTGTTGCTTGTTTCCGCATGCCTAGCTCTGTCGGGTAGCTCTCTGCTGTTTCTGTACCCCCAAGCAAGGCTTGGAAGAAGTAGAAAGAGCCTCAGATTTCTTTGGAGTCTCGCTACCTCCCCCGGATGCTGCCCATAAAGCAGATGGCAGGCTTCTCTCCCTGGTCCCTGCTGTCATCAGCTCCCCTCTGGTTCTCTGCCTGCTCCCAGCCTCAAGATGAAGGGAAACCCCAGTCTGAAGGGAAACCCCCTTTTTACCTCACACTGTTTTCCTCCCAAACATTCTGATTATATCCCATTTCACTCCATTTCACCCAGGAGTCTGGGCTTTAAAAAACCAACAAGAGACTCAGGCTATTTCTACTTTTCATCATATCTTATCTCTCTTGGAGACAATGAAATAAAACTATTAAAATTGAGAAGGGTGAGGCAAAACAAACACAGAAAGGGGAAACGATTTCAGAATGGAAAAAACACACTTTAAGTAGTATTTTGTCCTTTTTTTTTTTTGTCCTTTTTGAGACCGGCCGCACCGCTCTCAGCCAGTGAGCGCTGTGAGCGCACCGGTCATCCCTATATAGGATCCGAACCCGCAGCGGGAGCGCTGCTGCGCTCCCAGTGCCGCACCCTCCCGAGTGCGCCATGGGCTCGGTACTAAATAGTATTTTGATAATTAATCCACTATACAAGTAAACAGATAACAAGATCATAACTGATTGTAAAATAAACATGGTGATATGATGGAGAGTCAAGAGAACAAGGCTTTGTTCTGGGTGGTCAGGTGGTAACATCTGAGCTGAGACTTGGAGGGTGAAGGATGGCAATACAAATAGTCACTTTGTCCTTCACTGTGTTTGGGACAAATGTAATGAAATAATAGTACGTGGCACTTGGTGAGTACTCGGGAAATGTCAGTTATCATTATTGTTGTTGATGAAGCTGACAGAATGGAGAGCTAACTCAAGTCAGTAGTGATACCGGGAGGGGCCGTCCAAAGTCAAGTCGATGCTAAAGCCCATACTTGTAAGGTAAAGTAGGCAAGTTGTCCACAGCCATAGGACGCATCGATCCTTTTCCTACACTTGGCAGAGATGATTATTTGGCCCTATAAAATGTGTACTCTATTGTATACCAAGACTTTTTAGGGTGGAACTTCCAGGAAAATAATAATAATATCTCAGTCTGATTACATATATCTGTCTAATCCTCTCCAAGATGACTGTGTAGACATCCTTCAGGCTGCTGTTTTTAAATCTAGTGATATTGAGGGAATAGTCTGTCACTATGCGCTGCTGAGCCCCTTGTTCTCTCTTCATTTATTATCCTTAAAAAAGTGAGAATCCAGATCAAGAGCTAAATCTAGCCCTGCTACCTGGTTTTGTACTGCTTGTGAGCTAAGAATGGTTTTTATATCTTTAAATAATTGACAACATGAAAAAGAAGATGTTTTCATGACACAGGAAAATTCTATGAAATTAAAATTCCAGTGTATATAAAAAGTTTTTTTGAAACAGAGCCACACACAATCATTTATGCATTGTCTTTGACTGCTTTCATGATATAACAGCCGAGTTCAACAGTATAGCCAGAAAAGCCTAAGATTTACAAAAAAGTTTGCTGATGCCTGATATAAATGATCAGGTTTGTTCTTGGCGTGATATAGTCCATCTTCTCATTCAGAGTACACTCAGTGTGTAGAATCACCAATATCAAATTTGTAAACCAGAGAATTCATTTTGGTACACATTGTTTTGATGATGTTATATTTTTAATTCACATTTAAAGTTTTCAAATTATAATTTTTTGGTCTTTTGCGATGTAGGTTCCATTAGATTTGGGTAGAATAACAAAGCTAATGCTTATTTAGCACTTACCTTGTGCTGAATACTAATGTAAACACTTTGTATGTATTACTTCATTTAATCCACATAAAAAGCGTATAATGTGGGTATTGTTATGATGTCCGTTTTAGGGATGATAAAACCAAGACAAAGAAAATTTGAGTAACTTACCACACAGCGTATAGGTAACTATAGAGGAAGTCTGGGTTTGAACCCCAGCAGTCTAGTTCCAGAGGCCTTAATAACCATGCTGAATATGAATATAGTAGGAGGTACTAAAAATGCTGCCTCCAGTATACCATTTAATTCAGGCTATAAACTTTTAAATTAATTTTATGAAGTAGTTTAGTGCAGGAAAATGGATTCACAATACCGTCACATGTGTAATTTTATAGAAATAGTAACTTATCATTTGCATCTGGTCTAATTTTGTGGTTGAGAAAGCATTTTTAGAGACATTAACTGATTTACGATCCTGTATGATAAGTAAATCATTAGTGCTATTTTTTTTACAGATGGGAAAAAAAAAAAAAACAAAAAACCAACCCTGAGGCTTTCTAGAATCACATTTCTAGGAAATGATAGACCAGGAAGTTAAGCCCAGATTTTCTGATTTCTAATCCAGAATTCTTTTCACTATACTCATACCTATGTTAGGCAGCTTTTCATGACTTTTACCATGTGTGTAGGCCAGCTATATGCTATTAATCACTTAATAATTTTCTGGTGATTGACTCTTTGTAACTTAAAAACCTGCTGAGTCTTTCCTAAGCAATAATATACATGAAGTCATGAGTTCAAGTCCTCTTTTATTTATCAGATACTTACGTAGTATTTACTATATTCCAAGCACTTTACGGTAGTAAATATTAACTCTCTTAAGCCTCATAACAACCCTGTGAGGTAGATACTATTAATATCCTCATTTTATTGATTAAGAAACTAAAACAGAGAGAGGTTAAGTAACTTATTCAAGGACACATACCTATTAAGTAGTAAAGTGGAATTTGAACCTTGGCCGTCTAGCTTCCCAGTTCTGTCCTATTAACCCCTTCACTTTGATATTCAGTCTTTTTCTAATACACAATAAATTAAGTGTATGCGTATTAAAATTAAAAGTATCCAGCTATGGGGCCGGCCGGGTGGCGCAATGGATTGTGTGCTGCTTGGGAAGCGTGGCGGCGCTCCCGCCCGAGGGTTCGGATCCCACATGCAGACCGGTTCCCGCTCACTGGCTGAGCGAGGCGTGGGAGCAACACCGAGGGTTGCAATCCCGTTGCCGGTCCCCGGTCCGGTACGGGGGCAACACTGAGGGTTGCGATCCATTGCTGGACACGGAAAAAAGACAAAAAAAAAAAAGTATCCAGCTATTTACCATCTAAAATCGTCTTGCATAAAGACCATTCCATACCATGATGGAATATTTAAGGACACCTGTGACCTCCTGAATACGAAAGAGAGCACAGTATGCTGGCTTGATTGGATGTGTTAGAAAGGAACATAATGATAAGTGTTAGGACAACTGAATATACTATAAGTTACCAGCATAATATTGAATGTAAACCATGAAACTCATGGCGCTTCTTTTAAATTTAAATACTTTTATTGTTAGGAAGAATCTTAAAATTAGTCATCTTTCCTAAATAATTCCTTATGTCGTGTGCTCCTGTTGTGTGATCAATTTCTAGTTAAATATTTTCAAGGTAAGAGAGCATACAACTTTTAGAGGCAGTTTGCTCCACTGTTTGTTGTATGGTTGTTAGGGAATCTTTCTATATTTGATCTAAAACCTACTTCACTGACCTCTTCATCTATTTAGGTTTGATTTTAGTGTTCTGTGATTCCCTCCCTCCTGTGTCCCCAGTAGATTTACCATTCTGATTATGTTTCACATAAGATAAAAATAAAATAGTTTGCATCCCTTGAGAACTAACCGGCTGTCTGTGGCCAAACTTGATAGTACTCGTTAGTGGGGGAGCAGTCTAAGATGAGAATGTTTCCATGGACCAACAGAATATAAACCAATCTGCAGAACATCAGCATGGTCATGCATGCTTGTGTTTATATGAGTACATTTTCTCATGTAAGGACACTTGAGGTTCTGCTGTACGGGTGTAACTAGACACAAAGTAACAAGACTAGTTTTCTTATGTGAATTGTGAGGATACTCTTAAGGCAATTGTTCAATGTAACTACAAAGTAACAAGACTAGTTTTCTTATGTGAATTGTGAGGATACTCTTAAGGCAATTGTTCATCAAGGGAAGTTCCAAAATGGTTTTGTAACTAGAATGAAGAGAATAACATTATAGTCTCTAAAGCTGCTGACTTGAAGGGACAGTAAGCATTAGTATGCATACATCCTGCTACAAACATGAAAAATCAGTCTCTTTCATTAAGAGTCATTTTTATGAGTTGGGTTTTTTTGGTTAAAATAGTTCCTTAATTTTTATTTTTTTAAAGTTATATGAGGTATATGGTAAAAAAAATAGAGAGTGAGAGAAAGAGCAAGAGAGACAGAGACAGCTAATGCACAGCTATCTCTGTCTGTTTTAATATATTTGTATCTTATAATGATATTCTCCTTTCCCACAGGCATTTCCTATTCAAAACAGGAACAGGGACAACGCCACTGTTCAGCACTGCAACCCCAGGGTACACAATGGCATCTGGCTCTGTTTATTCACCGCCTACTCGGCCTCTACCTAGAAACACCCTATCAAGAAGTGCTTTTAAATTCAAGAAGTCTTCAAAGTACTGTAGCTGGAAATGTACTGCACTGTGTGCTGTAGGGGTCTCAGTGCTCCTGGCAATACTCCTATCATATTTTATAGGTAAGAATATGTTTTTTAGAATTATTTTATCTATAAATCAAGGTGTTATATTGTTGTTTTGTTAGTTGTATTTATTTATTTGGTCAAGAAGAATATTATGAGATTATATGTAGTGGGGGAAAGATTGGTAATAATATATTATAAATCACAGAGTATTTTAAGTAATTTTCAGCAGATTTAGATAAATAGAAAAGCTAGTTTTGCAGGTAGTCATTTTTATTAAGAATGAGATATATTCTTGGACACAAACTATAGTGTATGTCTGTGTTTGTCTTACCCTTCATGAAACAGGATAGCTCCATGACAATTCCTGTACACAAAATAATTCATGCACTTGCAGGAATGAACACTATGCAAGAACCTCCCTCGATGTGTAGTCAATAGCGAGCTCTCTGCTACTTGTGAAGTTACACAACTTTCAGCTCACTCAGCTATTTAAATGTAAAACTCATCACTCAAGACCATCATCTTGCACTCAGGAACACTCTCCAGAGAACTGGACATCCATAAAACAATGAATGGATTATGTACTCATTCATATATGTGGATTTTTCATCTTTTCTGATGTAGTATTGATCATGTTTTTTGTCTAATAGTAACCAAAACAGTGAAAGCTACTAATAGAAATTGTAACTAATCCTTTTATTTAATTATTTCAAAACATATTTGAGCGTTCAAACTACTAGAAATTGCTTTTTTAAATGCTAGAAATGACTACATCATATTTTGATCTGCTTCTAAGTGCAGGGAAGGGCTTTTCACATTGAAATGCTAATGGTGTCCACTGAGATAAATCACAGGCTATGTGGTTTATCTACCAAGAACAACAGCCAGTGATGCATCCTCAAGTTTACAAAGCGATTTGTGATGCCCCATGAATTTCTATAACTGAATAAGAGTATTACAGAGCTGTATATAGATGATGCTTTTGCAACGAACCAGTATCTACCAATAGCTACAGTACTCCTTAGATATAAATTATGTACTTTGGAAAGTGGAATAACCATTATGAGTCACAATGTTTAATAGAAAAACAGAATTGTAGAGCATGAAAGAAATTTAGGCATAATTGAGCCAGGGATGGTAACTCTGTGGCATGTTATGTACGATTATTTCCAATTATTTGGCCATGGAGGACGTCGCTAATGATTCAGAGCACTCTTTCCCACTGAAGCTGCATTCATCCCCATTATGTTCATCACAGTGCTTCAAAGAGCACCACAGAAAGCCACTATCCATCCGTCAGAGACAAAAGCAAGATGAAACCCTTTCGTCATTTTTTAATCTCAGTTAGCTTCCTCCTTGTAAAAATGGTCAAACCAGATAACAGAGCATTTGTTACTTGACCAAGATCACACCCTAGTGAAACAATACCGTGCTGTTTCATAACACTCAAGTTCAAAGAGTTTCACAACCACAAAAATTAGTTTTCAGAGACAGATTTCTAGTATTCAATTAGAAAATATCCCAGCCATTAAGGGAATCTCTTCTGGTTGGCTGTATAAATTATTTGTATCTGTCAAAAGTGTGCTACTAAAGAATTTTAAATGGTTCTGAAATATACCAGTCATAAATGAGATGCAATAAATTAAGCATATGTATTAGTAGGGGATTTTTTTTTTTTTTACTGTAGTACCTGCCAGATAGATAAATACTGTGTATGGTTGGAATTCTGTGTCAAGTTGATTGATCAGGCATCTTTCTCATTGGTGAGTGCCTGTGTCCTTCCAGTTGTTAAATATTTTGAATATCAGTTCTGATACCATTTAACTTTATTTTCATGGTGTGATTAGCAGGAAAAATAGCATTTTAATGTGCGATTGGGTCACTGTTACTTATGAGACTTCTACTCTTTTCAAGGATCCATTAGTGAATATAACTGAGTATGAGACTTCTAAGTAAAAACTCAAATTTTTCTTTTTCTTTTTTTTTTTTTTTTTCAAATTGCCTGGTTTCCTTGTGTAGTTGTTAGCATACTATTTTATTCCTACTAGTACCACTGTCATAACCTTTTCCCTTTGCTTTTATTTTTCCCTACATGGAAACATGCAAATTATCTTTAATGTACTCATGTAATCTTTTTAATTCAACAGGTATTTATTGAACATTTGTTTTGATCTAGTTATTGTGGTAGCAGTTAAGGAGACAGAGTCTCAGTGTTATCTTTTCCATCAAAGAATTGTTTCATACTTTTATCACTTTAATTAAGCACAAATATGCTTAGAATTTTTATTGGTCTTCCTGCACTTAAGTGACTAACATACTAACACAATGATTTCTTTGTAACCAGGTAAAGAATTTTATTTTTCATCTGTAAATCTTTTGATTAAAGATGTTGCCTTTACCCTTGAAAAAAAAATAGGACACTTCTTTCAAAGAAAGCTGTCTTTTTCTATTATGTGTGCATGTGAAGCAGAGAGGGAGAAAAGGGACAGTTGCCTATCCGGCCAGATCAGCTGATAAACCCTAGAATCAGTAGAGAGACCAGTGTCATCATCAGATTGACCTCATAACCTTTAACAGAAGTGCAGCCATCCTAAAACTTTTTTTTCAGTCCTTTCGAGTCCCCTTCTCTCATATTGCCTGTTAATATAAAATAAAATCCTAAGAAATAAGTTAGAAAAAAAACAGCTTGAGGAATTATTTCTATTTTAGAACTTTCTTCCTCAGCTTCCAGTAAGATAATGAGGAGTTATGAGAATGTAGCTTTAACACATCTCTTCTCTAAGCTAAAGTGATCTCAGGATAGACAAGGTGAATAGCTTCTGAAGGAGAGGGGCAGGGGGGAGAAGGGCAGACAGAAAGGCTTTGTTGTTTGTTTGTTTCTTTCCTATTCCTCTCAGAATTTCAGAGAATAAAGAAAAGCCTAAAAAGAAAATGAAAATTAATTAATCTCACAGTGCATAAGTAATTACTATTAACTTTTTGCTGTATATCCTTCCCACTATTTTTCATTCATATATACAGCCATATTTTAAAATGCATTTTATACCAGCCTTTGTTCACTTATCAGTCATTATATATCATCTATATAATTTATTGTCAATATTTTTAACCTTTGCTAATCTCTTAGGTTGAAACATTCTATTGCTGTTTTAATTTATTACTAGCAGTGTTAAATATCTTTTCATATATTTATCGATCATTTGTATTTCTTTTTGTGTGTGTGAATAGGCTAGTTTTCCTTCTTCTCTATTGGGGCTTTGCTCCTTTCTTTTTGATTTGCAAAAGTGTTTATTTATTAAGAACATGAATTCTTTGTCATACATGTTATATATTTTCCAATTTATTATTAATTTTTGTCATAGTCATTTTTGCCACACATCATACCAAATTTTCTGTCAGTCAAATTTATCAGTTTTTTTCTTTATAATTTTTGCCTTTTGTGCCATACCTATAAAATTCTTATTTAATGTAAATACTATTTTTTAAATGCACTTAAATTTATTCTGGTACTTATATGGTTTTTCAATAACTGTTTTTAGGTCAACATTTTCCTGGGTACTCTGATAGATGTTACAGGTCCAAATTAGCTTTTTGTTCTAAAACTCATAGTCAGGTGATAAAGACATGCATGAAAACACACTTTTAACAGTACATGCTCTCATAGCAGCTTGATGAGCAAAATAAAAGAAAGAAATAAAAAGGAAGGAAGGAAAATACCTGCTTTGGATGAAGATGTTGGGGAAAGACTTGATCTAGCAGGTAATGCTTGAACTGGAGCTTAAAAGATAAAGAGAAGGAGTTCACCTGATGCCAGAGTGATTAGTGAGAGATCACCATGAAAAGAGGTCATCCAAGGAACAAGGAAGAAAAGTGAAAGAGCTACGGTGGCGCACGTGGAGTGCTGATTGTGCCAGGCATTGTGTTTGAAGCTGTGTATGAATTACCTCATTTGATTTTCACAACACTCCTATGAATTACCTCCATTTAACAAATAGGGAATCTGTTGCTTAGAGAGGTACCTTGCCTAAAGTCACATAGCTAGTAAATGATGGAGACTGGACTGGAAACTATCAAGGACCCGTTATACTATACTCCCACCTATGAGGTTTTCAAAGACCTGAAAATAGGGAAGAAATTGAAGAAATTTAAGTATAAGAGGAAAAAAGAATCACATTTATGTTTTTAAAAGATTGCTTCAGTGACATTCCAGAGCATGTAATTGAATGAAAGGAAGTCCAAATTTGTGCTTTTAAACTTTGTGCCTAGGAATCACCTGGGGATCTTGTTAAGATGCATACTGTCATTTAGCACATCTGAAGTGAGAACTGAGATTCTGTATTTCCAGCAGGCTCCCAGGTGATGCTGTTGTGGTCCATAGACTACACATTGAGTAGCAAGGCTAATGCTGTCAAATATTCCCGTTGTTGATGAAAATGTTGTTTCTTCACTTTCCAATTCGGTAACCACTAGCTAGACACATGGCTATTGAACACTTGAAATGTGGCTAGTGAGTTTAAGGAATTGAAGTTTTAATTATATTGTTTTTAATTCATTTATACTCACACAGCCACATGTAGCGGGTAGCTACCATGTGGACAGTGCAAATCTATACAGCCTGTTAGGAAATTAGTCTTAAGTGGGAGATCACGAGGCCCTGTTGGGAAGGAGGAATGAGCAGAACTGAGAAACCTTAACTGATTCATCATATAGATGTGTCTTGATTTTGCATATTCCAATTAAAAAAAAATCAAATGTACATTTGGCAAACTTCTTTTAAGCCTGTCACATTCTGATTTTCTTTAGATTGCTGAGTTCCCAATTAAAATCCTCCTCTAATGCATTAATGTGTAAGTTGGTGTGCCTTTATAGAGTGAAAATCTTACTGATTCCTAACCACAAATGTAAAGTTTGATGATAATAGTAATATAGACCTATCAAAAAATACCTGTCCCACTTTTCTTGGCCTTAATTTACTCGTTCTTCTTTCTGCTCTAAAATTAGAAAATTTTAAAGATGAGCAATAACCAGCAGTTGTTCACCAAAGAATGGGTAAA